ACTCGGAAATCATTCCATCTGTCTCTATCTCATAACAGTTTTGCAGACTTACACCATTTATCATGACGGCATGTTAATCAGTAACATAATAAGACAATTTGGCGACAATACTTAATTCGGTACATACATGCAATGATATTATATTCTCATTCTTTCAAAAGCAAATATCTAGTGGTCACAGTAAAACAAAGCATAGTGAATAATCCCTGTTAGACATTATTTCCGATTACCAGTCCTGAATTAAAAGCACCATCTAAACACGTCAACTAGTGAATCTTTCTATGGTAAAATTATGATGCTCCAGTTTCCTGAGCGGCTAAATTTCATTTGTAAAATACCACTACTTGTATAGCGAATGTATGATAAGATAAAGTGGAACCCTGGGAAAACTATAAGATGCTGATGTGCATAAGGTCGTAATGAAGTGGAAAAAAAACCAGAACTTTTGTGGATGACAGTTTACTGATACATAGTGGTGCAATGACAAAATTTCTGCGGATAACTAAATATAACCTTAGCCTAGAATAAATATGCATATGGTAGACAGTACTTTTATTGTTTTTTTCTGATTCCTGAAATACTGAAGAGATTTATTATTTATGTGCAAATATAGAGTACACTATGAAATCTCTCTGGTTCCCAGGTTCGCTAAGTTATTTTGTGTACTTTTCAAAGGAAAGACTAATGAAAGTCTATTTCTAAAAATAAAGGTTTTTTAGTCATCACTTTCCGAATAAGAAAACTGATATCATGGGAATAACTGATCTCGAAGAGAAAAAAACGACCCAGTTTCAGGTAATTTTTCGTCTACAAATAAAATGGATATTTTCGATCAAGAATATATATATATTTTTTATCGTTATAAAACTGAATTTTATGTTAGTATATTAGAGTTAGTGCATCGGTGGCACAGCGGTAGAATGCTCGCCAATTGCGCCTCATGTGGTCCGGGGTTCGATCTTCAGCTGACGCAGTCCTTCACCTCGCTAAGCCACTTCCCGATGTGTTCCCATTCATCTCAAAATAAAAAAGTGAAACACTATGCTGATACTTTAGTAAATATTCAATGATGATAGAATTTCTACTGTTTGAGAAACATTTTTGAACTAACTAATGATGAAGACAACCATCTAAGGACCTTAACAACGAAAAAGCATTGAAACTAAACGGAAATGAATGTCCTTCGAATATGTCAATAGCACCTGTTGCGGGTGTAATTCAAAGTATGTCTAGATCTTATTTTGCAGCTGGTTTAAGACGTACTGATATTTTTATGAGCAAAGTTTTACTATATTAAAGCTTCCTTGATAAATTCTCTTTTGAAATCAAAATTAGTGTATAAAGTATCTCATTATTTTCGCTCTATCGACCTTCAATGTCCTTTTCAATTTCAAAACAGCCCCTTTAGTGTGACTTATATTCAATATCTTGCCCCTTAACACTTTATTATTTTGGAAATAAATTCTTATAACTGGTGTATTTATCATCAGGTTGTTTCTAGTGATTTGCGCAGACATATCACACGAAGTTACAGTGTAGAAAACAAGAGTCGTATTTACTATGGCTGGAATACAGATGATAGTCAGGCAAGTATTTCCATCATGTTTTAGACACTTACTGAAATATAAGAATCAAAGTTCTGAAGATTAATATTCGATATCATTATAAGCACGCTATATGCTTGAAAATATATTGAGGTTATCAGAGCTCTTATTAAGCTATTTAAGTTCTACAAAATCAGTAGCTCTTTCTTCAGATGGCAGCTTTCGAAGCCTAATTATCAAGTGTTGTTTCGCAGAGATTTGATTGGTTACAGAATTGACTGATGGCTGTTCAGTACTCTCAGGTTTTTTCAATGGTTCTCTAACTGATATCGGTTTGTGATCAAACCCTATAGAAGCTTAATTTAAAAAAGAAGGGCAGTTTTTGCAGTAGGAGAACTTGTTGACGAGTTAAGTGGTTTGAGTGTTTTATTATTCTTATGTCATATTGGTTCAGTGATGAGGCTTCCAATGTCTGAATTTTTCAACTCACGAAGTATTAGAAAATGAGGTTGTCATCACTTTACATACTCAAAAGGGAACTTCTTTATTCATATATCAGATATAGCAGTTCTAAGAAAGTATTTGAATTAGTGGATCGCTTATAATTTTTTACACACTCTGTAAAAAGTAGTATATGGGTTTTAAAGGTTTCGTGTGCTCTTGGAAGCGTGTGGGCGGTCGTTACTTCCCGGCTGCCCACACCGTGAAAGTTGGTTGATTCTTCGGGTACCTGAAATAGAAAGAGGGTTAGTGTTGCGTGACCGCAGAGCCCAGGGAACAACTGTTTGAGGCCGGTCACACACGGTCCGTATGAAGTGGTTTCTTGGTTTGGTTTCTTATTATTAAACTCACCGCCGGCATACAGACCACCGTAGGGTAAGTCGGGATGTACAATTGTTGGGGTCATCCTTTTCTAACCCCCTCTCTCCATAATGGAGGGACAGCATAGCTGGCATGCTGGTCATCTGAGGGAAACACCTCACTGCTGTTACATCCCTGTTCCCCAGCAGTACGACTTCACCCGCAGACCCCCAGCATAGTGTAAAAAACTTCTTACACTACGTTGGTAACTGCTTTAGTCTAATCGCTATCCCCACGACCTTCCTGACATGGTAGGACTTGCAGGAACAAAAGTTCCAGCCAGTGTAGCTTGTTGGTGCATTGCGATGTGCAAGCCCGACCACCACGTCAAGGTAGCAGCTATCGGTTGGGATGAGTTTTAAAAACTAAAACAGTTGGTAAAACTTATCATCTAATTGGTAGCAGCATCATTAATTCCACCTGATTAGCTAACTTTCAGTAATTTACGAATTTCTGTGTTGCCTATTTCTACCGATTAGGCATGCATAGGTCACTAAAATTTTGTATTACTCAGAGTGTTTCATGTGCTCTTCCACAATGTAATATCGTATTGAGGACAGGTCCGTCCAAATCTCGTTTTTCATTATTTTTGTAACCTGCTTTTAAGCCTTCTATTTTTTCTTGTCGTTTTTATGTTTTTCTTACTACCTACCTTTCCCGAAAGCTGTTGGAATGAAATTTTATGTTGATGTCAATCTATATTCGAGAGGTATATAAATATATGTATAAATGTTTATAGCTTACAGACTTCAGTATACAAAATCACACAGAGCTGAACTAACATTGAACCCTATCGTAAAAATGAGTAAAACCAAGCAGCATGCCTCTCTCTCTCGCTGCTATCCAACATCCAATAAATCCATCTAACGGGTTATTGAAGTTCGGAAGTAATAAAACTTCAGGATTCCTCTTTATGCATACAGTGTATAGAATAATATTCAATAAAAAATAAAATGAAATTTTCTATTCAACAGGAAACTACCCTTCTCTTCTTGCTTATTTTTCATTTCGCCTAGTTTAGTGGTCAAAATAATAGAATATTGATATCTATATGTATTTTGAGCATTTGTGTAGACAGTGGCATATAGCAGTAATAGTGTCGAAGATGAGGGTAGTGGTAACATCAACAGAAAACAAAACAATCAGACAATATAGTCTAACTTTTTTTTATTGTCTATAACTTTATCTGTTGCAATTAAAAGGAAAATAATTAGAAAAATAATGGTTTTTTTGGGTGATTGTGTAAAGATATACCACCTTGTGTACATACCTGCATGTTTGTTTACTTCAATATACAAGGAGGATACGATGTCAATGAAGAAGGAAGGCACTGTATATTTTTCAAATGTATGTATATATAGAAAATTCACACTGAACTTGCTGTTTGCTGCCAGTACTAACATTACTATTCCCAGTAGAATAAATACACCAAGAGAAAAAACACTATTTTAAATCGTCTACTGAGTAAACAGATGAATTTAAACAAATGCAAAGGAATTGGGCTTCTGGAAAGCAAAAATCCAGTAGATTTTTTCGATTGAATGTATTACACTTAAAGTTATTCGCGTCGTTTTTCATAATTATAAGTTAACAGTAACGATAAAGAAAGTGAGATTACATGAAATCTCTAACACTGTCTATAGAAACCTTGATTTCAAGCCATATTTTGAAAACGGTGACTATCGGGAATTACATATCTTCTAAAACAGTAAGAACGTTACTTGAAGTCATGCACTTCAGAGAGGTACAGAATAACATTCGCATAAAGTTGAACACCGTTAATCTACCTTTGAAAGATGCATCATCAGATAACACTTCAAAAGGGCATCCAGGCTTACAATGCAGCAAAAAAGCACGATCACCAGTATTAACTATCAGTTAGGAATAAAGAGAGGTTAAGAAGTATGAGTGATGCTATCCAGTTTATCGATAACGTCGTATGGAATAGAGTAACATACTTTGCTGTATTTCATTAAAAAAGATATCAGAAACAAACGATCCAAAAACATCTAAGAATACAAGTGAAGGTAAAGAAATTATATCTGCCATTAAACTCGTTTCAATCTGATTTGAATTTTTCAGAATTACAGTGGAAGTATGAGTGACAACTCCAGACAGACTGCTTGTGCACTATTGAAGCATTTCAAAGCTAGTACAAAGTAGCTGTCAAGTGGTCATGGACTTTCCTGAATTCTGTATTTATTATCCGTCTGTAACTAAACGAACCTTAAGGTTATACAAACCTTTTTAAGGTTATTTCATTCTCCTAGATATGAACTCCTAATTTTAGTAGTCAAATATTAGTCTCTTGAAAGCAACAGAAAGTAAAATAGTGAGGTATTGGGTATTGGGTAGATGCTGGTGATGTTTCAAAGGTGACTGACATGAAATAAAAATAACTCAAGGTTAAGACAAGAAGATAACTTGACTTAGATATTCTTTTGTAAAAGTTATTCATTAAAATTAACGCAGAAAATGAGGCAAATATGGAAAAATCTAAACGAAGTGGTAAGAGTTCAACCACTTGAACGCGGAACCACTGAAATTAAATCTGGTTTCCCACACTACCTCATTATATTTTCACTCCTATTTTAGATTCGGAATTTGTCGAAAAATTTTCGCCTGACAAAAAAGCAGTTACTGCTGATACACCAGTCAATGTTACCTGCAATATTACATCCCCTATGAATACCACTGATACTACTAACTTTAATTCTGACAATCAAAACATTGCTGCCCTTGATGAGGCCCATTCAAAATTACAGTTTACTATCCAGTATACTGGAATGAAAACAAATGACAGCATTACACAAACCAATGTATGTGAATCAGAATTGGATACATACGCAGAAGGCAGTGCAAATATTGAATGTCAAGTGACAGATAAACATCAGCATCGAGTTAAGAGGCGTGTTAACTCAGATTTTCACTGTAAGTTCAATGTTATTTTAATTTATTGCTGATTATTTGTGAAGATAAGAAGAAAGTCGTAGTATCGTGTTATTTTCGTGTACTACGTTTATAAATCAAACAGGTTTGGTTGTCTTGAATATACTTCTTTCTACCATCACACCTGCTTTATTTCCAGATTTCACTAGTTTTTTAACCAAGCTAACACAATTCATGTGAAAACTAGACAATTATACAACTTTTCCTTACAACAGAAAGCTTTTTAGTTATCTTCAAAGAATTAGAATTTTCTAGACCTCAGCTTCATGGATTTCAAAAAGGCCTACGAAAACGTTTACCTCCAAGTGGTTTGCAAACTACTTCAACACTAGGGAGTGCCCTAAATCTTTATCAGCCTCTTTCAACATATATATGATAGCGCCATATGTCGAGTGATCCTTAACAGGGAACTTAGCGAAGCCTTCGAAGTGAAGACAGGAGTCAGACAAAGTTGCCAACTACTACCGATAATATTCCTGACTGTGATGGTCTGGATTAGCAACAATAAACTCTTCGAACGAACCAATCAACAACCTATCGCTCACCAAATCTGCCGGGGAAAGTAGAGATGGATAGAACAAATGCCACTGAGCAGGTCGTTGGGTGACATCGCGATCCAGGCCATCACTTGAGTTAAATCGGAATGGGAAACGAAGAGTTTGGTATCGGTTGGAGGATTACATGGATGAGATCGTATGAGGAGGAGATGAGAGCCTATGGGTGATCATAGGGCTATCTGCAGGTGACTAGAGAGAATAGGACAACGTGGAGGTGTGTTGTTGAATCCCTATGTTCCTCTTGGAACCCAACGGAATAATAATAAAACAGGCCCGTTTAGAGCAGATTACTAAACATCCATTGGTTCACTAATCTAACGGACTGGATGAAACTGTTCAACTCAAGTGATAAAGAAACTCCTTGATATATAATAGATATGTATAAGCAAGCGAAATTCCTTACAACCAATAATCAGTAACATCTCCTTCGTAGAGAATATTACCCCTGTCTAACCAGTTAAGTCCAGCACTCCCAACACACTGTGAAGAGTTCAACTAAGTGACCAAACAGCTGATAAAAAGCATTTAAAGTCAGATACTAGTTCGATTTATTTTCTTTGCCTGCCAGTCATATTGATCAAAAATCTGAGATCAGATACCTTTCAGTTAGCAGTCAAAGGCAACGTGATCACTAGAGTCTTTTAGAACGAAACGCTTATTATCATCTCAGCTGTAGCGTTATACGTTTTTATCCCATTTGACGCATCGTTTAGGATAATGTTCAGTCCCAAATGCGCTTTCTACTTGTATGCAAGTGTGCATAAAAGTTTTCTGAGATTATCCTTATAGCTGTAAGATCAAGACAACTGAACGTTTTTCATCACCTAGGCAATTGAGAAACGTCATTGTACACTAGTGATCAATAAGGGGATCTTTTGTGGAAAATATGAGACCATTTTGAAACCCTAATCATTCACAGTAAACTCGAAGTCGAATACTGAGGTAACCGAAGTGAATACAGATTAAAATTTAATAAAATATCCTTCTTCAATACAAGACTAAGAGTAGGAGTTGACTCTCTTATCTCCTAGTATCTGCTTGAAAACTTCACTGTGTAATTGTTGTCTAACAAACTCCCTGTTAAGATTCCTCCTCACTGTGTTAGCTGGGAGTATTCGTTGAACACTATCAGTTAAGCGCTTCATTATTAATGCCATATCGTCATATGTTCTGTTATAGAGCATACATTTTTTTTAAAAAACTTAGGGAAAAACATTTTCGTACTTCTGTATACTTTACTACTGATTTGTAAGTGTTGATTGTACTCAAGATAGACCTCAGCTAACCGCACTTGCTAAAGACTTCTCCTATTAATACCCTTATTAGTAATCTACCTAGCGTGTAAGTACTGATTAACGAACTCAAAGTAAAAAGGCTTGGGGCTGGGTAGTGTGTCCTGATAAGAGATGTATTTTACACAGAATAAATATCCATTTTAATAAGTAAGAATGTTGCACAACTTATCTGTTGTCCGGCTGGGTAGCAGGCTCTACCACAACAGGGGAGAGAACGACGTGTGTACAGTCGAGTCGGAAATAACAAGATGGTGTGGCGCCATAATCAATGAATGCGTTAAAACAAGAATTCAAACGTTCAAGATGCATTACAGATTAAATACAAGACACTTGATGATTCTTCCAGTCGTCTGTACAATTAACTGAAAAAGTTTAGTCTCATAGACTAATGTCTTTTTATATTAACTTCTGACAAATGCTACCACATAAGTGTCCACATTCTATTCATAGTCCGAATCTGTCATGTTGATCCTCACTCAAAATTCTGGTAAGTCATATACAACTAAGTAAATCTATGAGATAACTTTGACATAAATTATTTAGCATTCCCATTCTTTTCATAAGCTTAAATAACACACATTTAACTACCTAGTGTGTAATGATGTGTCTCACATCTATGTTTACAACTTTTGATCGTTTGTCACTCTAGTTTCTTTTTCAAACCTCAACGCAAATTCTATACTCATTTCAAGGAAGTAATGTTGTTAGAGCTGCAATATAGTTGTAAGAACATCGTGGTGTATGCAAGGAAAAGTATCCAGGGAAAGTGTACAGTCGTCGATGTCAACTGTTTCCGATAAAATGTTCCCCTTACGGCTATGAGAAACAAAGAGGTTTACTAGTGTCACATAGCAACAAAATATAATGACTAAGAATGGATATCCTGTATCTCGAATCTATCCAGTAATTTGGAAAATCTAAATGGAGAAATCAAACAGATTAGAAAAAACATTACTACTGAATAAATACCAGCTAGAATTTATCCAGAAATTTATAAATACTCACAGAAGTAGACGTAGCGGTTTCAAACAAGGCTGCAATTAGGGTGCCATTTAAGCCTATGAATACATCGAAAGAAATGCTGTGTCTGCATGAAAACTAGAACTCTCAAATGAGATGAAATAATTGATTTAACAAATTATTACCCAAATGAGGAAACAAACTGGTTAATAAACACGGAAGGCGTGGAAGTAGGCAGTTTATCTTTATTTCGTGGATTAAATATTGGTTACTTGAAGAAAAAACGGTATGACCTAAATGTGTTAAAGGTCCTTTTTTAGGAGTGTTCTCAAATATTGAGATTTAGTTTTACTAATAATGCCTCTAATGAACTACAGAAAGCCTTGTTTTGATGATTCCGAGAATTTCATCGGGTATCTGTTAGTCCTGAATCAATCATGAATATTACTATTTTTTGTTGCAAACATCGTTAGAACAAATACAATTCTTTTGGTGAACTAATGACATAACTAGATTTCGTTTATATAATAATAGAAAGAAACTCACAAAGTAAATATACTGCTAAGGTGATGTAGGTTTTCGGCATACACTCCTACTTATTCTCTAATCTAATCCTTCCGTTATAAAAAACATCCAAAAAATGAGAAAGTCACTCTGTTCTTCTTCTTTAGTCAAGATCACCGATTAATGAGATTCGTTCATCTTCTCCAATATGCACTCTATATCATTCCCATTCCTTAGAAATGTACGAAACCACATGAACATTATGGAACCCCAAATCATTTATTGAAGCTTTCAGAGAGTTGATCTGTAGTTTCGAAGGAAAAGTGTCAGTTAGGATTAAACTCAGTAGCGATCCTTTAATAAAACCATTTGACTACCTCTGTCTCCTCGTTAGACATTCGTAAATGTGACTTTTAATTCACACGACATTATATTTAGCTCAGTGAACATGTAAGGAGTGACTTATTGCTCGCGCAACTCACTGGCAACGTCTACATTTATACACAAATAAAGAAATGACATTGCTTTCATTTTTCATTAAATGACTAACGTCAACTAGTAGTTGAATACAAAGAACAGTTTTAATGCTTTCAAAGTAGTACCTATCTATAATTATTCGAAATATGTTAGTCATTAGTGTGAATAAAAGTAAGTTCAGGAACGATTCATTTGAAACATTTTGCAGTACTAAAACATTGTCGGTTACTTGGTTCTTGCAATAATTGTTAGTCAGAAAGCATTTGTAAGAGTGAAAACTAATAACAAACATCTGTTCTCGTTATGAAGTATAAGATTCACCTATTGAAATGGATGTTTTATTACACTCTGCAGTAACAAAATCGTGTTTCAAAGTATCAGAACTGATATTTTTTCGTTTCTTAAAGTCAAGTTATTATTTGAAGCTAAACCTTTTATCCGATACCAAAAGGGGAATACTTTTAGTGTGAATTAATGATATTTATTCTGGTACTAGTGCACACTTTAACTCAAACTGGGCATTGTATTTTATAAACTGTGCACTCATCTTCCTTTATAGATCCATCTAAGTCTGTTCGACTGGATACAAATTTATCTCCAGATCATTCAGTTGAAGTTGGTACTGTCCTCGAGATTAAGTGTACAGCGGAACCAGGTAATCCACCTCCAAAGTTATCTCTTTTACGCCAAAGATTCGAAGAGACAAAAGCAACGGTTATTCAAACGAAGACAAGACAAATTGGCCAGAAAAATTCTCATATGAAAATGCGTAAAGAAGTGGTTCAAGAATTTTTTGTCACTTTAAGTGAAGAAGATAATGGTGCTTCTTTTTTCTGTGAAGTTAAAAGTACAGGGATTACATCTAGTGTAGCTCGATCTGACAGTGTACGATATAATGTTTCATGTAAGTCTACTTTAGCTGAGAATTTGCAGTCTTAATAATGAGTATACTTTTGCCGTTTCGTTTAATGGCTACTACTAATTAAAACTTATTTATTATGACACTAACAACTCGTCTCAATCGCATAATCTACTTAAAAATTACATAACCGATTATATTGCACTAATCTACAAAAATTAGTCCTGACTACAAATGAACGCTTAACAGATGAACTTACAGAAGTAAGCTACGATCATTGCTTATCGCTATATAATAAAATATAATACAGATATCAGTATTCCAGTCGACGGTTTTAACAGTCAGAAGTTGCACCGACACAGTTTCTAAATCACAAGCCTCAGGTACTTTGACCATCAGTAAAATTTTCAACGTAATTCTCTATTCGGCTGTAGAGAAATGAATATGTATAAAAAACGATCATAAGTAATTATGTGCCATTTGTTTGTAACTGTTTCTGGTGTTCTGCTCAGTGTGCTGAGTGGTTTAGGTGTGAAGCCTTCATTGTCTTTCTGTTCAATATGTTGAGCTCTAAAATTAGTGTGAAAAATGCTTTCGGGATTCTACATGTACTGATTGTACTCGAAGATTTTCTAATGATTGTGTTGACTAGTGTTGACAGTGAACCTCACGCAGACCAGACATTTGACCATTTCGAACGTATGACTTATTCCTTACTGACTGACAATTTAGATCAGTATCAGTGTATTTAAGTGTTGGTTTTCAGGGATTTGGTTGGTCCAAGGATTTCATGATGAACTGACGTCGGTTAGAGAACCATTACAAAACCAACTGGGAGTACTGGACAACTGTTTCATCGGGGCTTCAGACTTTCCGGCAGCACACACCCACTCTGGTTAGAACCCAGTACCTTCCGGTTTCAAGGCGAGCTCATAGACCTATCCAGTTGCCACTCCATGAATTCCAACTTCTTAGAATTCCCTATCAAGCACGACCACTAACCAATGTCATCCGTGGCGAGTATTTGTCGTCATACCCGACATGCTGTACCCTACTGGTCACGACTTCCCATTCGAACCCAGATAACTACCTATCTGAATATCGCCAACCGCTACTGGGCATCAGACTGGTATTCAAGTGTTGGTTTGCAGGGATTTGATTAGTTTCAGGGTTTCATGAATTGGCAGAAGTTGGAATTCATGGACTGGCCATTGGATCGAGTCCCAGTAGCTGAATAGTCTGCAAGCTCACCTTGTAACCAGAAGGTCGTGGGTTCGAAACTCAGTAGGTGCTTACTGCCGAAAAGTCCCATACTAGGATGAAATAGTTGTCCAGTACTTCCAGTTGGTTTTCCAATGGTCCTCTAACCAATGTCAGTTCATGATGAGATCCTGAAATAAGCATATGTAACAACCGAAAGTGATTGAAGTATCAGGCTTTTAGGAATTCTCTAACCTTCTCTGTATCTATGAGTTGATTTATGTAATTGTCCAAACGAATTAATTAATATGAGCAAATGTATGTCGTATCTTTGGAATACTCTTTTGAGTATTAGGAGGATTAAGATGATACAAAGTATTCGTTTGCAGTTGAAAATGTTTGTCCTTGAAATTCAGCTGATTTCAGCGTACGTCAATACATTTTTACCTAACTAATTTTAACTAAACTGATATCCTTCTAACATCAACTCCAGTTGTCCATAAACTTCAATGTACCTACACAAGTGAAGACAAGAGATTTCTTACTTGACTTTCTGTGTACACTTTTCTAGTTCATGATTTAACGTTAAAAAATCCTTTTACAGCAACAAATAAATAAATAAAAGAAATGAAGTTGACGTTGCCATGAAATCTTTGCCTCAGTTAACATGCAAAGAATGAAGTAACTACTTCGCCTTGTAAAGTCATTATGATTCGCCATGTTTTGCTTCATGTCTGCAGCTAGTCAACTGCTTTTCTATTAAATGAAACTTAAATAGATTTTAAGTAATATGTATTTTTCACCTACGAAAAAATTTGTTATCTAATGTGAAGTAAACAGCTAACAATAAGATCAGTAAATAAATTTATTTATAGGTCTTCTGGTTGAATGGCCTCTAAACCTTCAGGTCACAACAAGTATTTCATATCATATGTTATTTTTTAAAACAAAAATCTCCTTTATTCCAAAAACAATACTTATAATACAGTGTGGAATTATCAGCATTTGTCACAATATTGCATCTGATTTACTCAAAATTTAAATTAAATTAAAACAAAACTAACCAGAGGAATTTGTCCACATTTACGACATAAAGTTAAAAATATTCGAAGTACAAAATGAGAATAATAAATATAATAATTACAGTGGGTTTGCTTGAAACAGTATTGTCGATTCAGTTTGGAAATTTTAGCAAGATTTAGATTATTGAATCTAATGTTCTGTTGATATAGTATGGTGAGGGGAAAGACGAAAAATAACCGTTTTAACACAGCTTAAATGATTTTTACACACTTATGACACAATAAACAAGTAAAAACAAAAAATTGTGGGGAATATAAATACAAGAAGAACAATAACACTAAAGCTTGGTGGAATAAGGATGGAGAAAATAATTTATTTGCTAGTGAAAAGAAGGTTATTGAGATGAGTATAAAACTTGGGCACTGTGGTAGAGAGTAAAAAGCTGTGTGAGTGACTTGATATGATTATGAGCAATAGTTTGTGCTCGAAATGTCATCAGTTAATATTACTGTATATCACTGTGTGACTAATCAAAATAAAATCTTATCCATAATGGAGCAAAGAAGGCTAGTTAGTTCGTCCCTGACACTACTTTTATCACATAAAATATGTGCCGTCAAATATGGTATAGTGAATTTTTTATACTTAGACGTATGTGCATAAAGTCTTTTGAAATGACTTCTTGTTTTACGTGAGAAGAAACAAGGTGAAAGTTGCGGGTAAAGTGGATGCTCACAGTCTGACAAAATTCCTTTAGCAAATTTGTTACATGAAATCAAGTGCCTATCATTGACGATGTCAACGCTATGGCCCAATGGGGTACCACCAATTGTCTTACTGACAGTCTTCAGAGTTCTACGAAGTGTGAGATAGTCTTTTTTTAAGCAATCCAGTAAAGAATAAGGGTGAACAATAAAGAAAAATAGGTAAAATGCACGAGTTGACAAACTGTAAGATGAGGGGTTGAGTTATGCCTGAGTGCCTTAACTTCTCAATGTAAAAAGTCAGACGAAGTATTCTTTTAGAAATCGCTAAAACATGGGAAGACCAGGATAGGTCAGGAGAAAGAATTAATCCAAGATACTCAACATCAGACTTGACTTCTATATCACTGTCATCAATTTTGCAACGGTCATTGGAATTAACGGCGAAGTGTTTCGTTAATTCATAAGACTTTTTTTATCACAGCAGTGATAAGATTGGAAATCAGATTGTTACAACTATTTAGTATGCAACGATAAATTATGATAAGACGACTGATTTCAACTCTTATTCAATTCCTCAGTTAAAATACTAACAGTTAACAACATAGTATAAGTAGAGAGTTAAAATACCTTTACTTTGTACTATGAGTGGAAATAAAATTGACAAGGTAGTCTGAATATTTTTATATATGCAATGAATCAAGTAAAATACCATTTTCAAGTTATGAATATTGATATTTTTGCTGAGTTGCACGTCTGCTGTGTTCTAGTGCTGTGAAAAAACCTCATACAATTGAACCCCTTAACATATTTAAACTCTGAGTCTTCGTGTAAACACAAGTATCTTAATTCACCTTCGGTTTCTGTATGAACATTGATGTGCTTGATAGCTGTTTATAGGCTCATGTTGAATATTTGTATGATATAGCACGTCATATATTGCCTACTTCCATGCCAGTGTAAAGCTTTTGGTATCAATGAATGCTGAAAGTCGGCACGCAACAAAACATTTAGAGGCTTTAGTGTTTGCAGTGGTTAATACAACTCTAGTAAAAGACTACACTTGTCGAGCGTTGTTATTATTATTATCGTTGCCTAGCATTCCGAGTGGAATAAAAGGATTCGATAGCACATCTCCACTTAGTTCTATTTTCTGCTGCCCTCTTCAGCTAGACCCACAATTGCCCATAATCTGTCATCCCCTCCACAGACGATCTAATCTATGTGACCCTACAACCAACACCGAACTCGACATTTCACACTCGAGTTCCTCTCTAGCTCCGGACTCGCACACTCTGTCACCCGACGGTTTCCTCAGTAAAATTTGTCCGATCCATTTCCACTTTCTTCAGATTGGTTCGTTCACAGAGTTTCCTCTTGTTTATCCTTTCTCGCCAGCAATTTGGTCTTCAGTATGGAGCCTTTGAAGACAGCTGTTGATAAGAGTCTGCACTGGCCTACTGGAAATGCCTTTCGTAACGCGCAGTGCAAGTTTCTGACTCATACAGAAGAACTGATTGTCGTAAGATTTGTGTTGAAAATCCAAATCTTGTCATTTATACTGACTGAGTTAGTGCAGAAGACTCCCAATCTAATTTCAGAGTGATGGTGTGCTTTGCCTTTCCGATACTGGTTTTGACATCTTCATCCGTGCTGTAACCTGCAGTTGAAACGATGTTGCCCAAATAAGTGAAGGAAGCCACTTCTTTCAAGTTGCTTCTGTTGATGGCGATCGGTGCTGGTTGTTGTTGCTGTTGGTTAGGTATCTTCATCACTTCCGTCTTCGCCTTCTCTATTTTCAACTGTAGTCCTGTCTTCGGCGCTTCTTCAACCAGTTTGTTACCTTTCGCCTGAAATTCTTGGAGTTTGTGTGACATTAAACATAAATCATTCGCGAAATCCTGGTCTTATAGAGTCTACTTATCAGTGGTCCAGAATATTCTTGTCTCCTCGCTCTCCACAGTCGGACGCATAATCCAGTCCACCACAATTAGGGATATCATTGGTGATAATAGGTATCCAGCTTGTCTTATCCCTGTATTCACTCCGAAAGCCTCGCTGAGTTTTCCGTTGTGGATCACCTGACACGTGGTAGTGTCATATAGCCAGCTGTTAAAT